GGCTTGTGAAACGATCACGTGTAGGGAATGACAGTGTGGGAAAGAATCTATTTTTGCTATAAACACAGTAATGTTTCCTTTGATCTCTCCAGTGCCTTGCCGAAGAATTTGTGATTAAGCAGAGAAACGAGAATATCCAACAAGAGAAGCCTGAAGCAGAGCTACAGATGAAGAGAGAGAATATTTAGTGCATGTGTCTGCAGAGAGCACGGAGCGTGCTCGTCTGTTGCTCAGCCATGCTAAGCAATGTGTCAGAGGGATGAGCAGAGCATTGAGCCACATTCTGCTTTATTTTGCTATTTGCTTTTCAGTCTGTGTTGCTGTGTGTGGCCCAGCACCAAGACTATTGCTGTAGTCAGCCAGGGCTATGATCACTTATGTACCTGCTGGTGAAAAATGTCTCTAATAAAACTTTGCTTCTGCCTAATGCAATCAAGAACCTGTGTCTGAAACTGAGTTCCTTTTGAGCCCCAGCTGCTGATCCATGAGCAAGGGGCACCTAAACTGGTCAGGACCATCCTGCACTGGGAACAAAGTTGCTTTGCCAGCAGGAGAGAGTGGCCTTGCTGACCTGGCAGGTTTTGTCCAGCTCCTCCCTGCTGTCAGAGCCTGAGGCAGATGTTGCCCATTCCTGTGTGACACATGCCCCCATGGACAGGCAGCTCAGGCAGAGGCTGGTGTCCTTCCCACACAGCACTGGGCTGAAACACAGTTTTAGAAGAATTTTGAAAGTCAGTGATGGAACATCCAGAGACAGTTTGCCTTGGTCCCAGTCTAGTGCTGATGGATCTGGGCTGAGCCCTCTCATGCTCCATCCCACAGCCTGGAGACTGTTGAGGATGAAATCTTGGTCTCCACAACTGATTCAATTTCTGCTGACACAGCTCATATTCAAACCTATCCCTTTCATTCTATGGGAATCTTCACACTGGGAAAAGGACTGGAGGCAAAAGCTTTATCTCCTCTCTTCACACAGTGACTGAGTCATTTACTGGTCATCCTCTGATTGCCAAGAGTTTCAACCTGAATATCAAGAGTGGTTGAAAGATCATCTTTGCGTTAAACACACCTTGTCTGGGGAGCTGCAGAGAGCAGAGTGGGAACTGAAAAAGTGCAGCTTATGAGAGAACAGAATTGAGAAAAAAGCCAGGTACTCGGTTTGGACACCCAGAGCCACCCAACTGTCACAGAGCAGGCAGGTCAGGCCCTCCCTGGCCTTGACCAGCAGCTGTGTAGCTGGTGCTGAGCTGGTTTTGTCCTGGCCCTGACCTGCCAGAGCAGCCCTGGGCCACGGTGAGCTGGCAGAGTCACTCTGGCTTTGGACAACTGGCACTTCAAAGTATTATGAGGGTGTTTTGAGGATTAAATTGTTGGTCCAGAAAGCCAAGCAATGGTGGTTTTGGTAGTGGTGTGGCTGTTACAAGGTCACATTCACCTGTGAGATGACCCAGTAAAGCAAAACTCCTGGTTATTCCTTTTCCATCAAAGGCTGGAGGTTATGGAACAGCCAGACTCAGGACAGGAGGAGAGCAGGTACAAAGACAAAACCACTTCAGGACTGGACATACAGTATAGTGTGGCACACTTTTCTTTTGCCTGTTCTTTTATAAAGACACCAATTTCTCTGATGAAACAGAAATTTACTTAACATGGTAGCAAGTGCCTGAAGAAGTTCAACCACTAATATCTCAGGGAGCAGGTGAAAGGTGCCCTTCTCCTTGTGAGAGGACACAGAGAGAAGATGTTTCAGTGATATTTCTTTATTTCACCTACCAGACACTAATAGTATCCATGGACAAGACACGATAATGCAGTCCTGGAACACCTGCAATGACTCAGAGGAGTGGCCAAAGGTAGAAGTTTTTAAACCAAGACTAAATTAAGCCTTATTTAAAGTTTAGTTCCAGCCCTACAGGAAGCCCCAGACTTGATGGAGACTTGAAGAATTCTTCATGTATGGCCAGTGCTTCACAAGAGATCAAAAGAGATACAAATAGTGTCTATAATGGCAAATTTCCTTGTGTTGGATCAAGTGGATATCCTAGTTGTTCTCAGAGCTCTGGCTGAGAAATTGAAAAGCAAATCTTTCCGTTTCCATTCCCATTGTCTGCTCCTGCCTTGTTCAGTGCAGACAGGCAGTGAGATAACCCACTGCTGCCCTTTTTGGCCTCAATCCTTCCCAATCTGAGTCCTCACACTCTTGTTTCTAGAAATATAAAGACACTGCACTGACACTCTTCCAGTTTCCAGTCTTCTGGAAACTCCTGGCTACCTATGGTAGGTAAAAGCTTCCCAGTCTCTGCTGGCAGCCCCAGCTGATTCCCACCAGCTGTGGGCTGGTTCCTCCTCTTGCGAACTGCTACTGACATCTAGCTGCTCCTCCAGATTCCCTGAGCTCATATCAAAGACCTTCCCACCCTTTCCACCACATCCAGCAGGTCCACTTTCATAAAGGAGCTGTCCTGAATTCCTGAGAGGTGAAAGAGAACTAATGACACGGCCAGAAAAAGACTCTAGTGATCCAGAAATTATGAATATGCCTCTGGAAAGCCCCTGGAGGGTACAGCCTCAGCTTCTGGGACGCTCTGATGTTGTTTGTGGACCTACAAGTTGGGATGAGTCTGGAAGGCAGCTCAGGAGAGGCAGGTTGTGATTAACAGTTCCCCAGCAGAAAACACCCTGGAAACACTTCATTTATTAAAGAGCTGCAAATTATGGAGCTGCAAACGTTGGAAGCTACATTTCCATAAGATTTCCCTATTCCTTTGTGCTGATGAGACAGACCCAGGAAGCTCATGAGTTCAAATAACTGAATGAAAACACGAGGGAAAGCTTAATTTAATTTTTTAAGGTCTCGGAACAATTACTTAGTTTTGTCTTGGTTTATCTAGTGCTCTCATTTCCTGGAGACAAACAGGAAAAATAACAAGACAGAGGGAAGTGTGTGTGCAGAGCAAAGCTCCTGGGCACAGGGGGCTGCTGCAGGCACACAGAGCTGTTGGGGGCAGAGGGGACCGAGGTGTCTGGGACGGGCAGGAGCGTCCCCAGCCTGCAGACACCCTCCACTCCCACGGAGTACAAGTCATCCCGTGTTTCTGCCTGAGCTACACTGATGTGCCCGTGTGATAACTGCGGGGCTGGGGAAGGAATGTGTGCTCACTCAGGAGATGCTTGCTGCACGCAGCTGTTGGGAAATTCCTGAGGAATCATCCGCAGAGCAGGCGAAGCTTCCAGCGACGCAGCTTACAGCAGTTTCGGTTCTCTCCTGCCACCACACCCTGACTCCCAATTATGTTCTCCAGTCCTAGGAATGAAATCTGGTGATTCCTTCCTCTGCACAATAACTTTGTTTGAGCTTTTACCTATTCTGAGTTTTATTTCTGTGTGTTTTGGTCCAGAGGGAGGCCCAGTGCGTCAGCTGCAGCTCGGCCAGCTTGGAGTAAATCACTTTGGGAAGCCTCTCCACACCTGTCTCCAGCCTGCTGGAGAGATCACTGGAATGCTTCTGCCTTTCATGGCATGGATAAGGAACATCCAAGGAGGCAAAGAAAAGGGGAGACATCTTTCCAAGAGAAATAAGAGTAATAAAATGTTGGTAAATCCATGAATACTGGGATAAGTCAGTCCTTAAGTAAAGGGATCATTTACGTGCCATAACAATAGCTATTCCAATCCACAATCCTGACACTGAGTGAGGATTTCAACAAGAGTTTGAACTCACTTTTCCCTGGTGAAGGAGGTTTGGAGAATTTCATAGAAGGAACAGCTGGATTCAGAAAGCCATGGAATGCCTGCCCCTTGCTCCATGGCCACTGGAAAGGGGCTCCCTAGGGAGGCCAGTGCTCTGGAACCTCAGCAAAACATCTCATGAAAAGAAGCTTAGCCTGAATTTTGATTACAAAAGTGCAAAAGGATTCTTACTTTTTATTTTCTTTGCTTAATTAAGATTTAGAACCATTACTGATAGAGAGCCTCTAGTTTGTAGCAAATCCAGCTTCTCCAGCCCAGGTAGAAGTGCACAGGGCAGTGACTGCTCTGCAGCTCTGTCAGGAATTCTGTCTTTATATGTCCCAGGACAGCAATCTCAAAGCTCTGATTAAAATGCAGCCTGTATTGACAGAGAAATTTGCCATAGGATGTTTCTACTCCCATCCACTGCTTCAAAACCACCCTTTCCCAGCAACAATTACAATCCATAATGAGGAGAAGTGCAGAAATTATCTTTCACTGAACAACAGGAAATACTTAAAGCACTTTTACCTTCCTTTACACTCTCCACATAATGAAACAAATCCTTTGTGGATTACTGGAGAGCCACAATCATGTATGAAGAACCTTTCATCCGTGCCCATTACAAGATCCCTCCTTGGTCTCACTTGTCTCACAGCAGTGCTTTGGATTTGTCATTTTGGCAGTGGAGAGATTTAAAGGTTAATCTCCGTGTCTCTGATCTTTCCAGAGTTCTTACATCATTCTTCATACATCACTCGAAAAGCAAACTTGGTATTTCTTCTTTCTTTTTCATCTTACATATTCCAACCTCAGCACCTTGCATCAAAACTGCTTATTCAAGTCAAAATAAAATGAAAATAAATTAATGAGAGATAAAGACCTCTTTGATGCAATAACCTTTAATGATTTCTTCCTGGTATGTAATTTAGGACAGTGTTTTTCCTGGCTTAATGCTGTAAGTTTGCATCATAAACAAAAAGCTGATGATTCATAAAACATTATTGCTAATGTATTTTTGAAATTAGCAAGAGACATGTAAAGTATCTTCCTTGTCTACCAGGCTTCTTGAAAGGAACCTTCCCTTTGAGAAATTATTCTTGGCACCAATGGCTGGAGTAGCCAGCCTCATGGGAAGAAGCAGCAGTGGTGACACCCACTGTGGAAGGTATAAATAGGGATCGGCGGCCACGGCCAGCCTGCAGTCTGATTTCGTATCAAGCTGTGCATCTTGCTTTGGGCTTCTGCTTGCATTTCCAACCGCTGTCGCCATGAGTTGCAACATTAAGGAGACTATTACTGTGTCTAGCAAAGGCAGGAGCAGCGGTGGCAGCTGCATCATTGGTGGTGGTGGTGGAGCACGGATTTCTTCCTTTGGCATAGGCAGTGGCAGAGGTTTTTCTGGAAGGAGTTACTGCGGTGGAGTGAATTATGGAGGGGGACTGAGCGTTGGTAGCTTGGCTGGTGGGAGCTATGGAGGTGGCAACTGCTATGGCAATGGCCTCGGGTTTGGCATCGGAGGTGGGGTGGTTGTTGGGGGTCTTGGTGGCGACTGCTTGCTTTCGTCCTGCGATGAGAAGGTCACCATGCAAAACCTCAATGACCGCCTGGCTTCCTACCTGGACAAGGTGAAGTGCTTGGAGAAGGAGAATGCTGAGCTGGAGTGCAGGATCAGAGAGTGGTACGCAACACAGGGCCTGTCCTGCGAGCCCCGCGACTACAGCTGCTACTACAAAGAGATTGAAGATCTTCAGAACCAGGTAATCCCCCCTCGGCTTGTTCCTCCCCTTTTGAAAGCTTATTCCTGAGTTTGTGTTTAGAACTTACTGCAGTTGATGGAGGGAGCTCTGGTGCTTGTGAATGTCTTTGCAAACAGAAATTTTAGCAAATTCCTCAAAGATATTGCTGAGTGTGCGTGCTGTAAGGTGGTATGGGTGGGAAAATGCTCTGAAAGAGGAAAAGGATGCTTTGGTACATTGTATTTGACTATACAATTGTAAATGTAATATTATCAATGTAATATTACCAATGTACTCTGAGGAAATGTAGTGGTGTCAGCCCCACAGGAAGAGCAAAGCAAATTATGGGACAATCAAAAACATACAGTTTGGATGCTTTATCAAATGAAACATTATAAATCTCTAGGTGAGAAAGCTGAGAATTGAAACTGATTGTCACAGTGACACAAACAGCCTAATATTAGTAAGTCCACAATGAAAGTTACGGCTGATCCTAAGGCTTAAAGACACCTTCCCTCCATGTTCCCTGAAGGTCCTTAAATCTGAAGCCCAGAACATGCCAGCTTGAATGTCAGTTGAGATTTACTATCTTAAGGAAGGTTCTTCCGGTTTATTTTTTGAAGCCTCTTTGGAACTTGCCTTCAGATCTTGAAACTGGGAAGTCCCATCCCACAGCTCTTTAATTCCCAGTTCTATGTGGTTGATCTCCTTTCTTCTGTGAGTAAAGGAGGCAAAGCCACGTCCTTCAACTTCTCTGCTCAAGGGACAAGGTTACTTAGGTAAGAAGGTAACAGAAAAAGGGAAATGTGAAGAGTTCCTACCTAATTGCAAGGCAGAAAAACCTATGGAGTAAAACAGGAGAGAGGAGACATCTCTCATGGTTTGCTGTTTTCCAGATTGTCTGCGCAACCATTGATAACAACAAGATCATCCTGGACATTGATAACAGCAGGATGGCTGCTGATGACTTCCGTGTGAAGTGAGTGCCCCTCTAAGAACCTGCTGCCTCCCCCCTGCTCCTTTCCACCTCCCTGGGAGGCTCAGAGCACTAATTACAGAGGCTCCAGACACGTCTCTCCACACCACTTTGGTAGGGCAGGATGATGAAAGGCATTTTGCTCCTGGTCACCAGCCCTCCCTTAATTAGTGTTCTTGGGTAAAACATTTAGCAACGGCGTTTGTGGTGAGGCTGGGGACAGGCAGCTCAGGGAGTGGCCCATTTTCACCCCAGACCAGCACAGATGAGATCAACAAAGCAGAAATGCAGCTGAGTAAGTGATACCGAATATACAGTGAGCAGGAGCAGGGAAAAAAAACCTGAGAAAGAAAAGCTTTCATGTAATGACATGAAGTGGTGCGGAAATCCAAGGCATGCAGAAATCCAACAAAATGCAGGTCAAAGCATGGAGCTGGGCAAGGAGATCGTGGCGCAAACAGAACCCATGTGGCACGTCCCCATCCTGAAATGTGCTTTCTGACACAACCCAGGTACGAGACGGAGCTGGCGCTGCGCCAGAGCGTGGAGGCCGACATCAACGGGCTGCGCCAGGTGCTGGACCAGCTGACGCTGTGCAGGTCTGACCTGGAGGCACAGCTGGAGTCGCTGCGGGAGGAGCTCTGCTGCCTGAAGAAGAACCATGAGGAGGTAGGTCCTGCCCTCTCCCCTGCGAGCATCGTGGATTGTTGCAGTTGGTTTGAGGGGGCTCCCCAAGCTGTGTGTTCGCTGGTGGCAGCAGGCAGGCAAGGAGATTCCACACGGCTTCTGAGGGTGCTGATTAGATGAGGGTTTATTGGGGGTCCCACCCCCGGGAGCAGCATGGTTACTGAGGGAGAAGGGGGAAGGGAGGGGGAGAGAGGGAGAGCCTAGGGGGAGAAGGGCCAAGAGAGTCTGGTCCACCTCACACAGCTTAAGAGGGAGATTCAAAGTGGGAGCAGAATAAGATTTGGGCCAATGGGGTTACAGATACATGAGAATCCAGGGCAGCAACACAGCTTGGAATAAACCGTACATTTTCGAGGGGTGAGACAGAGCATACCATTTAACTAAAATGCAACACCACAATGGTCCTGGTAGAAAGCATTGCCACTGTGCTTGGAGTTTAAATTGTCCACTTGCAGGCCACAGCTTTCTCACCAAACTTTCTGGGGCTCAGACTACTCAGCCTCAGAAGGGAAGGGAGCTCTGGCAGGAGCAGCGATGCTCCTGGGGCTGTGCTCACACTGGGAGCTCCAGAGAGGGGAAAGCTGCTGCTGATTCCAGTGGATGAAGAAACAAATTAGCCAACAGATTCCTTGGGCAAACACTTGCACCATCCTCCTGTGCCTTTCACAGCCACAGCAGGGAGGAAGGTCTCACAGGGAGGGCAGTTCTTGGCCACTGAGCTTTGCTCTTCTGTGCTGCCTTCCAAAAACCAGTATGATCTGATCTGGGATTTATTTCCAGGAGATGAGTTGCCTGAGGAAACAATCAACTGGAGATGTGAGTGTGGAGGTCAATGCCTGCCCGGGACCAGATCTCAGGCAAATCTTGGAGGATTTGAGATGCCAGTATGAAACACTGATAGCGCGCAACCGCAAGGAAGTCGAGGATTGGTACGAGTGCAAGGTAAGCAACCTTTGTGCTGCAAATCAGACTGACACACACAGCCCCAGGCCCAGGAGCCTTTCAGAGACCAGGCATGGAGACAATAAGCAGTTCTTCCTTCCCAGTGAAGCCCAAGAGCAGTACTCATAATACCCTGTGTTCCACAGGAGCCACAGGCCTGTCTGACCAGTTTGTTATGTCCCATCTGGAACAGCAGCATTTGCCACAAGGCTTGTGGTGTGTTGTTGGAACAGAGATATTCCACATTTGGATTAAAGAGATTTAATAGCCACGAGGTTAAGGGGATTTGTAAAAAGAACAAGCAGTGGAGCTGGTAGGGAACACCCTGTGCACAGAGAACCTGCCCTGCTCCCTGTTTCCTTTTGCTGAACACTCACCATGTTCTGCTCCTGTAAAAGCTTTCCCTGGATACCCAGATATCCCTAAAGCTCTTTATCCTGGATTGGTGATTTCAGATTGAGGAGGTGAATCGGGAGGTTATTACGAGCGGTCAGGAGGTGGAGACGTGCAACAACCAGGTGACTGAACTGAGACGCCAATTGCAAGCCCTGGAAATCGATCTCCAAGCTCAGCTCAGCCAGGTGGGTGACGAGCTGACTCACAGCTCCAACTGGTCACTGCTGGGTTTCTTAGCATGAACAGCCAGACCCACCAACTAGCACAATGGTGGTGAATGGTAGTTCATTTTTGGACTGGAGGGTGACACTAAAACGACTGTTGTTTTTTTCCTTATCTTATCAGAGAAATAACTTGGAATCATCTCTGGCTGAAACGGAGTGCCAGTACAACAGTCTCCTCAGTGAGCTACAGAACCAGATCACGTGTGTGGAGCAGCAGTTGGCTGAAATAAGAGCAGAAATAGAGTGCCAGAACCAAGAGTACAAGACCTTACTGGACGTCAAGTGCCGCCTGGAGCAGGAGATCCAGACCTACCGGTGCTTGTTGGAAGGAGGACAGCAGGACCTCATGTAAGTACCTCTCCAGATCCACTAGAGAATAAATGAAAATGTCAGGGATCTGCATTACAGATTGGGTATCCCACCTGATCTTCAGTCCTTCTTGAGGCTTTCTCTGAGATTAAAAAGTTGCCTCATGAACAATTTCCTTGTGATGAACATTCCAATCCAAACTAAATGCCAGTCCTCGGGATCTGAAAGTAGAACACCAAATCTGTTAGCTGCTGGTGACAACAATGTCACTCCTGGCATTATATCAGCATTTGTGACAGTCCCTTTTTTATAGTGAGATGGGTGAGAACTGTCCATGCCAAGAGGGAGCACAAATGTAAAGCAACTCTGAAAGTGAAGGAAAATTTAATGTAAAATACTGTAACACTTATAAAGACCATAGTTTGAGATTTTGTGTCATGTAGTCAGTCAGCAGTGTCACGTAAAGTTCTAAAATTCCCTATTTCTCTCACCAAATTTATCCCACTAGTCATGGAGGAGGAATTGGAACTGGTGGAGGGGTCATTAGGACGAGCCATACCTGCACAGGAGGAGTCAGACAGGCCAGCAGAGCTGGAGCTCATCCGTGAAAGAACAGCGGCAGAAATTTCCAAGGCTCAGGCAGGTGTGTATCCACACACAGGTACCACCTGAGCAGCCACCTCTGGTGCACATCTCCAGCTGCTCTCCAGATGTGTCAGGTGTTAAACTGGGAGATGTGCTGGTGTGTCAGAACCCAAGACACCCCTCTGGGTGCCCTGAATGGCTCAAGATCCTGGCAGGGGCTCTGAGACCCTGGCAGGAAGCCAAAGACACTTGGGATTTCCATCTTAACCCATGGAGCAAATCACCAACTTTACAAGTCACAAAAGTTTAAGTAGTTGTCACAGGGTGAAAAGTAGAATTTTGGGATTTTTAGAATGGGGTTTGGAGTCACAAGATGGAGGAATCTGGGCGTTCCCTGTCCTTCTTCTTTCTTCTTCCTAACCTCCATCTTCTTGGTGATGGTGGCATTTTTAGATTGGTTTAGAGTAGAAGTAGACAGTCTAACATAGGCAATAGGTACTGGAAAATAACTGTAAATAAAGTACACATAGTTTTTAGTATAAAAAGACAGCACCAGCCCAGGGGCAGGCAGTGTGCCCTTGACAGACCTACAGATCAGACCTCTGAAGGTCTGAGAAAAAATATTTTAGATAATAGAAAATAAACAACCTTGTGAACAGGAGCTGAAGAATCCCGAGTCATTCTTCGACCATCGGGCTGGGAAAAAAAGAACTCTCGGGGTCATCCCAAGAGCAGGAAACCCGAGACTGGGGAGCATGATGTCTGTCACACACATCCCAGCAGGGTCTCCTGGCCCTGCCTGTCTCCCGGACTCGTGTGAGCACGTCCGAGCAGGGGGCTGCCCCTCGGCAGAGCAGCCCCACCTCAGTGTCCAGCCACTGCCGGGGAGGGACCCTGCGAGGACAGTGTCAGCAGGGCAGCAGGTGCTGAGGTGGCAGATGTCCTCTAATAAAACTTTGCTTCTGCCTAATGCAATCAAGAACCTGTGTCTGAAACTGAGTTTCTTTCGAGCACCAGCTGCTGATCATGAGCAAGGGGCACCTAAACTGGTCAGGACCATCCTGCACTGGGAACAAAGTTGCCTTGCCAGCAGGAGAGAGTGGCCTTGCTGACCTGGCAGGTCTTGTTCAGCTCCTCCCTGCTGTCACAGCCTGAGGCAGATGTTGCCCATTCCTGTGTGGCACAGGAGGAGTCAGACAGGCCAGCAGAGCTGGAGCTCATCCGTGAAAGAACAGCGGCAGAAATTTCCAAGGCTCAGGCAGGTGTGTATCCACACACAGGTACCACTTGAGCAGCCACCTCTGGTGCACATCTCCAGCTGCTCTCCAGATGTGTCAGGTGTTAAACTGGGAGATGTGCTGGTGTGTCAGAACCCAAGACACCCCTCTGGGTGCCCTGAATGGCTCAAGATCCTGGCAGGGGCTCTGAGACCCTGGCAGGAAGCCAAAGACACTTGGGATTTCCATCTTAACCCATGGAGCAAATCACCAACTTTGTATGAAGAATTACAAGTCACAAAAGTTTAAGTAGTTGTCACAGGGTGAAAAGTAGAATTTTGGGATTTTTAGAATGGGGTTTGGAGTCACAAGATGGAGGAATCTGGGCGTTCCCTGTCCTTCTTCTTTCTTCTTCCTAACCTCCATCTTCTTGGTGATGGTGGCATTTTTAGATTGGTTTAGAGTAGAAGTAGACAGTCTAACATAGGCAATAGGTACTGGAAAATAACTGTAAATAAAGTACACATAGTTTTTAGTATAAAAAGACAGCACCAGCCCAGGGGCAGGCAGTGTGCCCTTGACAGACCTACAGATCAGACCTCTGAAGGTCTGAGAAAAAATATTTTAGATAATAGAAAATAAACAACCTTGTGAACAGGAGCTGAAGAATCCCGAGTCATTCTTCGACCATCGGGCTGGGAAAAAAAGAACTCTCGGGGTCATCCCAAGAGCAGGAAACCCGAGACTGGGGAGCATGATGTCTGTCACACACATCCCAGCAGGGTCTCCTGGCCCTGCCTGTCTCCCGGACTCGTGTGAGCACGTCCGAGCAGGGGGCTGCCCCTCGGCAGAGCAGCCCCACCTCAGTGTCCAGCCACTGCCGGGGAGGGACCCTGCGAGGACAGTGTCAGCAGGGCAGCAGGTGCTGAGGTGGCAGATGTCCTCAGCTCCTCTGCTCTTCAGACAACTGGGCATCCACAGCTGTGCAGAGACACCCACAGGACGGAAAGAGCTGATGGCCTGGAAGCCGGTTTTGTACCTCATGTGACACGGTACAAAGATTCCTCACACCTAAACACGTATGGAATATTTTGGATTCCTTTGCTGAGAAATTAAAAACCATTCGAAACATAGAGGCAAATTCATTTCTCCAAGTGCCGCTCCTGACTGTGGCACACGCGTGCAAAAGAGCATTTCTGCGTCTGCTCCGACCTGTTCCTGCAGTGCAATAAACCTGGAGCAGAGAAGCGGCAGAGGGAGGGCGGAATTTTGGCTGTGAGGAAGCGGAGAAGGGACAAGGGTGATCCCTGGCGGCGGGGACGGGCGCGACCAGAGATGCTCATCCCGACAGCGGAGGAAGCGGACGGGGATCCTGCCGGCAGCGCTGCCTTGGTGGGGCCGGGCCAGGTCTCCCCCTGCTCTTCCCACACTCGAATTTCTCCCTGCCCAAAACCTTGAACAACGCCCCGGAGCTGCTGCTCGCTCCTCCCAGCAGAACAGCGTGAATCAGATCCTCCGTGAGCGAGAGGCAGATGCTCATCTAAACTAAAATCCTGGGAATTTGGCATCTGACTTTTCACCTTCTGCTCCATCGGCACTGCCCCTCTTGTAGCACAGAATGAAGAACCTGTGGAAATATTTACGCTGGGTTGGGTTTGGTTGTTTTTCCCAGAGGAAAGAGACATTTAAAATACCTATACTGGGTTGGATTTGTTTTATTTTATTTTATTTTATTTTTCTCCAGAGGACAGAGACATTGAGATTGCCTGAGAATACAGGGCAAAACTGGTCAATCCAAAAACTGTCCAGTCTGGGCCGAGCCTGAAGCCGAGGTTTGCCAATAACACTGTATTTCTGTATTTAAAGTCACATAAAAATTTAATAGCAGCTGAAATAATTAGTAATCCTGACTGCCTGCAAATGCTTCTTGTGCTGAAAAACAAGGAAATGGAGAAAGTGCCTGGGGAATCCTGGCACTTCCCAGCTCTCCCCATCAGGTGTCAGCTGTTCCCAGCTGGCAGATCCCAAGGAAACAGTGTCCTGGTCCCGAGCCCTGTCCTGTCCCCAGCCTGTCCAGTCCCTGCTCTGCCCCAGGTGTGAAAACAAGGTCTGAAACTCTGCTTAAAACCGAGCTTACATTTTCCTAAGGGGCCCAGAGACGCTGAGTTAATGGAGAACTAATTCTGACTGTGGCTAAGTGGAAGTAATTGCTGTTAGCCTATCCAACAGAAGTAAAATAATATGTGATTAAAATGATATAAAAACGCATTGATCCACGATCTGCAGCAATTTCAGCCCTGTCCAGCCCCCCTGCCCTGCAGTGGGGTGGGCAGCGCTCCTCGCCCACCATGCCGAGGGATCCCGACACATTCTGCGTGTCAGCACACGGGATATTTGGAGAATTTTTGGAGATGCAGGGTGAACGATCCCGGCCCTGGGCTGCAGGTGCTCTCTAGAGGGCACTCGGCTCCCACAGAGCTGCCGGAGTCTCGGCTCGTCCCTTCCCAGCCGGGTGAAGCGGTGCCTGCGGGATGCGCTGGGGACACCGCAGTGCCCCGGACACGGAACGCGCTACCAGCCCCGGCATCCCGCTCCAGTTCCCCGCAATTTAATGCTCACACTCTCAGTGAGGTTGCTGTGACCAGGTTTTGCCTGTGGCTTCAGGGATGGTGCAGGTGTCCCCCTGCCTCCCGCAGGTCCCAGGTGTTCTCCCGTGTGGGGGTGTGTGGGATGGGCACCAGACTGAAACTCGCTCACCGCTTTGCCAATACCTGTTTGTTTTCCAAACGGCACCCGAGTATTTTGCATTGTGTCGTTAGGTGGGAGCACAGTGAAAGCCAGCGTCTCCTCAGGGGTTGTAAATGTGCTGTAATGACCCTTTGCTAATGAGGGTCTTGCAGCTGAGACCCCAGAGAGACAGCCGGGCCAGGGGCTGTTTGGGACCCACAGTGAAGCAGCTCCAAACCAAAGGGTTTGTGTTCTGAAAGTCTCTTCCAGCTCTGACTCACCTAATTACTGCTCCTATCACAACCACCATCGCTCTGTTGGGTGGTGGAGCTTTTGAAGGTGCTCTTTAATGTTTCATCACTGCTCGGCTCTGCAACAGTGAATGAGTAACAAATCGGGCAGAATGGAGGCAGGAATTATGCTTTTCCTAAAGGAGGGATGTTTGCTGCCTGGACTCTCCCACTGTCCTTCCCCAGGTCACCTGTCCACGCCAAGTCCAGCTTTGACTGACCAG